ATATATATATATATATATTTATATAATTATTATTTTAAGTGCATAAGTTGCCTGGATACACACACACAAAATAAAAAAATATTTTGTATTGTGTGTGTGTGTATTTTATATATAATTATTTTATTTAAAATTGTAAATATATACATGTATAACGAGAGTCTTAAAAATCAAGAGCAATGAGATTTAGAATCATTTCAATATTCTAACACGTCATTTCAACTTTGATTTTACAGTAGCTAGACAGACACTTGCATTAGCAACATAATTGTGTTTGATATGAACATACCACTAGCACTGATTAGTTCTTGATTTGATTTGTTCCCTTACTTACTGAACCCACATTTAAGACTTAACAATGGTATAAAATAGGCAATTTTCACCTCCGTCACCAATGTTCAAAAATGTTAGTGTTAAACAACAAGCTGCAACAACAGCTAGGTACAATCTATTGTAAACTATTCATATAAAGCATGAAAATAGTGAGCAGGTCCCATCTAATGTAACAGCATTTCCTGTGACTGGGAATCATGTAAAGAGGAACCAAAAAAGATGTAGAATTCATCCTCTAAGAAAAGACATCAAACATAAAAAACAGGAAAATTCATTCAAGCTTTCCCACATTATAAGCAAACCTCTGCTGTTGCCAGTGTGATCTCACAATCCTCTGTATCCTACTCCAAACAAGCAGACGATGGAGGAGTGACATAAAGCCAGTGGTGAGGATGGGGGTTGCTTATGTGGATTGAACCCGGATCCGGAACTGTCCCTGATGGAGCTGCAGGCGGAACAGCTTACAGTTAGCGATGCGTAGGGCGGCACAGCTCGTCTTGCTCAGATCAGAGGGCATGAGGGGTCTGGTGGGGTGCCAGGTACCCGTGCTTCTGCGGAACTCTCGCACATAGTCAAAACTGGTGCCTGCAGAGGAAACATAAAGAAATGTATATCATGCAGTGAGTATTTTATGCTCTGCTCTACACAAACAGCTTGAAGACACATTATTTGTCATGTTGTATTATGTGTACAGTATTCCAAAATGGCCATCTGGCTCATCTTAGCAAATCTGTTCAATTTAAACAGCTTGTTTCAATAAACTGGTCACAAAAAAAATTCACCAATTCATTAAACTCATCATTCAGTAGTATTTCCAGAAATCAAACCTTTTTAGTGGCATTTTTGTAGTTAAATACTTAAATACTGCTGTTTATAATTGTTTTTGATTCATTAATGGTTTAAATTTAAAAGTGTATTATATACAGTAATTAGTTGTATACGCGTAAAAGTGCTGTATTTAAACACCCTAATTGAGATTATCATCGATTTTGAGAGAGATAAATACTGGCCCGATTGTACTGATACATAATTAAAAAGTGGTGTTATTTTAATATCATTGTATTAATTTAGCTTTTATAACTATTTTGAATTCGTTTTTATTTTTAGATTTCCATTTTCCATTTAATTTAAGCTATTTTTAGTAATTTTGTTGTGCTTTCTTCTTATTATTCATTAAAAAAAATCTATAAAGTTTGTTAACTTTTGTTTGTTTTAGTACATGAGGTTTCCTTAGAAACGATCTGAAATAAAATATTTTTCTTAATATTTTATTTTTTCAGTTAACATTATTTTTTTAAGTAACAACTTTTTTTTATTGTTTTAGTTGACTATAATAAGCCTTCAAAATATATATTATATATATATTCTATTATACCTTATATTATATAAAATATATCTTAAAATATATACTTTATTGTAGTTTTGTCGTTAATATAGTTAACTATTTAATAAAAATTGTAGCTTGATATGAACTACTAATTCATTAGTGGCTTGTAACATTTCAAATTAGCTGATGCTTTGGTCCAAAATATGCACTAGTTGTATCTTGAATGTATAAGTTATCATAGCACAGAATTTTCTGACCTTCTCATGGACAGAATTTGAAGATATACGTATAAAAAGACGTTCCTAGACAGAGGATAAAGTACGATTATAAGACCTTATCAGCTTACCAGTGTCAAGTTCTCCAACCACATATATACTGGCACCAATGGGAACAGCTCCATAAACAAAAGACGATGTGGCCTGTATGCAGAGGTTCTGGTCATCTAAAAGCACCCACCTGTGAGAAAAGAAAGACATGCATGAACATACACATCACTCTAGTATTGCTCTGTACGAGTGTTGCTTTGAAGAGCTGACCTTTTTAGTTCATCGTGGAAGAACTCAGACTTGCAGATGGTCATCTGACTGGACTCTGGGTTGTCAGCGTCTCTGTTCCTCACACCACCAAATACATAGAGCTCTTGTCCAATCCCACATGCTACCGCGCCAAACCTGAGGAAAACAACTCAGCCGCGTTCCCATCAAGGAATAGTGCACAAACAGTTGACAACACAGAATACTTGTCAATTTAGACTTCAGACACAGAGAAACTCTTCATTTAATCATTTTGATATCAAACTAATTCCTAGCAAACATACATAAAACATACCTACTACATTGCACCAGTTGTTTTTTTCCCATCTCTATGAATATTTTATTATTTATAAAAGTTCATCATAAATGTACAGCAAATGACATAAAAGTACTGAAAAATGGTACAAATAGTTTTATATAATAAATGTTTATAAAAACAAATGTTTGGGGTCTGTAGGATTTTTAACGGTTTTGAAAGAAGTGTCTTATGATCACCACGGCTGCATTTATTTGGTCAAAAATACAATAAAAACACTAATATCGTGAAATATTATTTCAATTGAAAATAACTGTTTTCTATTTGAATGTTATAAAATGTAATTTATTCCGGTGATGGCAAAGCTGAATTTTCCGAAGCCATTACTCCAGTTTTCAGTGTCACATGATCCTTCAGAAATCATTCACACCCAATATGTTGATGAATAGAAAATTCTAAAAGTTTTTTTTTTAAATACATATATTTTTCTAACATTGTAAATATCTGTCTATCTCTCTCTCTCTCTCTCTCTCTCTCTCTCTCTCTCTCTATATATATATATATATATATTCAAAACTATTTTATGGAGTTTTTGCCTATTGAAAGTTTTTTATTAGAAAGATTATTTGTCAGCTGAACAATCTAATGAACGCATTGTACTTCTCTTCCTCACATTAAATATGGCACTACCTTGACTAAAGGTGATGATACACGGGGCAACTTTTTGAGCAATGTGGCCGGGCAATGTTGCAGAGCGATGTTACTTAGGCACTTTCCTATTGAGAATGGGCAACAAATTTCTATCTTGATACATTAGATGGGTCCTGTGTCTCACCTGATTGCCTGTTGATGGCAACATTGTCCAGCAACATTGCTCAAAAAGTTGCCCCTTGTATCATCATCTTAAGGTCTTGAACCAATTGTGAGGAGTCAAGTCTTCTGTGGAAAGTGCTATTTCTGTTGCGTCAGTAGTTAGCACCGATGCAGAGTGTCCCAAATCAGTTTCAGGAGGTTTCATGGCAGTTAGGATGAAGGCAGCCAGGCAGCTCATTAGATTGTGTAACAGAGCTATGGACAAAACTATACTCCAAACAAGACAAGAACACTAAGAAAAATGACAGTTTATGTTCCTCCAGATGGTGATCAATTGTTTCCAGTTACATGGGTTAGACTGATAGGTCCCTTGACTACTATTATTCAAAAGACACATCTGTAAGGCATCACAGATCACAGGGTGTGTCTCAGTTCTCATAGCTGTTAGAGCCTTATGAAGACGTGCTGCCTTTGCCTTAAAATGTAATCTGTTTAACTTTTGACATTTCTCTGCATCATAGGCAGGATGTGAAAAAGCATTCTCTAAATTCACACCTACAAAGAGCATACCGCTTTGAGCATCCAGTATTTGTGGTTTGAATGCATGGGGCCAAGTTATGCTGAATGATGTTTCTGCTGTTCCCATTATCAAATAATAATGTAACCTCTTTCACACCTATTCAGTGGAAACCTGGTTACATCACCATCTTTTAAAGTTAAAATGTTATGAAACAAATTGCAAGGGCACACTGACACATTTTTCCGATGTTATATAAAAATACAGACCCTTACAAAAAATGTTGGTAATATAGGCCTGTACAAACAGCTAAAAAATCATCCCAAGTAATCCATCTAACTTCAGTCCATCAGTCTTGTGAAGTGAAGAGCTGCGTGTTTGTAAGAAGCAAATCCATCATTAAGGTGTTCTATCTTTAAATGGTGATTAATCTGTGCATATTTCTGTCCTGTCTGAATTCAGACAGGACCACTTTTTCACCGGAGAAAGCAATATTATGGATAGAGGACTCAAATTTTAGCCCGAGGCAACGGTTTGACATTAACAATGTCTTAATGATGGATTTGTTTATTACAAACACGCAGCTTGCACATTACCTACATTACTTGTGGATTATTGTGATGTTTTTTATCAGCTGTTTGGGCTCTCATTCTGACGGCACCCATTCACTGCAGAGGATCCATTGGTGAGCAAGGGATATAATGCTAAATTTCTCCAAATCTGTTCCGATGAAGAAACAAACTCATCTACATCTTGGATGGACTGAGGGTGAGTAAGTTTTCAGCAAATCTTCATTTTTGGGTGAACTATTTATTTAACTTATTGATTGTGCACAGAATTATTGCCATACTATATCAGCAAGCTAATAGGTGAGTGTTTGTAAATTGCTTTGAATAGAATCGCCTGCTAAATTAATAAAAGTCCATTTACACACTTTACCTCCTTTCCTTAAGAGGGCAGACTGTTGTCCACTGCTGGGTTTTGGGGTCATAGCTCTCCACAGAGTCATAAATCTTCCCGTACGATCCTCCGCCCATCACATACAGTCTCTTTTTCATGGTGGCACAGCAACCAAACTGAAGAAGTGTGAGAAGCATGAGAGTATTGCAGTGAAAGTATGCAGATTTGTACAAAAAAAAAAAGAAGAGCTAAATCTCACTTTGCGAACTGTGGTCATTTTTGGTCGTGTTCTCCAAACACTGCAATGGGGGTCAAACACCTCCATCGTGAGGAGGACCTCAGTGTCTTCGTTCTCTCCACCCAAAACATAGATCATCCCATCCAACTCTGCAATGGCGAAGTGCTGTCTGGCCTGGAAAGACACAAGAAAATACAATATCACAATACTGACACCTGGTGGTTAATGAAAGAACTACACTATAAAGATGTAATTATACAGTATCTACCACTTTCAACCAACTAAAATCAATAAACAAGTTCTTTTATACCAAATTGGTTATTAGCAAATTTTACCTCTAAATATCTATAATAAACTATGATGGTTAATTAATTTAGTTAATAAACTATGATGGTTAATGTTATTCCAATAGTAGCATTCCCATACACTTGGCAGACAGACTACTGAAAGAGGAATACCTGCATCATCGGTGGGATTTGGGTCCAGGTGTTGGTCTCTGGGTCATATTTCTCTCCACTGCTCAAGACAGTTTTATTCTCATTCATTCCTCCTATTGCAAACAGGTACCCCTCTGATTGGACAGACAGATTATCAGTTAACTACAATTCAGTCATTAAACAATAATAGAACACACAGAAACCCAATAATCCTCAGGAAGAACTATGCGCAACAAGTAAGACTCTGTAATTAATTTCAAAGAGTCATTTGCAGTTTAATCTATTTACAGTAAATCTATTAACAGATTCAATGGATTTTTGGAAATGCTCAGGAGAGCATACGATGGTTTTATATTGCTGTGGGATGTACTAAACTTAAGACAGGATGTGGTTTTACATCTTTTCCAGACCACACGCTAAACAAATAGCAGATTGAAGCAGGATAATTTTTAAGCTATGGATTTTCTTTCATTTGTATTAGCCAAATGTCTGAAAATTAAGAATAAGGGTCAGAGTTTTTTAATGGTTTTTAGTTATGTGCTCACCAAAACGGCATTTATTTGATTTGAAACACAATAAAAATGGCAATATTGTGAAATATTATTTTTATTCGATTTAAAATACCTGATTTCTATTTTAGTATATTTCACATCATAATTTATTCCTGTGATGCAAAACTGAACTTTCATCAGCCACTCTTCAGTGTCACATGATCCTTCAGAAATCATTCTAACATGCTGATTTGTTGCTCTAAAAATCTTTCTTATTATTAATGTTAAAAACAGTTGTGCTGCATAATATTTGTTTTTTGTGGAAACCATGATACATTTTTTTGAATAGAAAATTTGAAATATAGATATTTTGTAACATTAGTTTACTCTCACTTCTGATTAATTGAATACATTCCTATGGAATTAAAATATTAATTTCTTAAAAAAAACAACAACAACTAACTGTCCCCATACATTTGAACAGTAGTGGAGATCACTGGAATTGTTTATAATTGTGGAAATGATGCATAATGCCTTACAGTTCAAATAATGATAAGACAGATCTAAATGAAAAACAGAGGAATGTGAGCTGTACTCCCTAACATCTTTTGTTTAAACATCAGCATCAAAACAATGCTGAGACAGCACAAACCTGCTGACACAACCCCGTGGCCAACACGCCTCTCATTCATTGGCTTCAGTTCTATCCAGAGCTGCCTGTCTCGGTCGTAAAGCGGACACATGCATCGCGCTGCTGCCATGGGCCTCCGAGAGCTGCATTGGAAACACGCAGGAATTCAGGGCAATATTAAAAAAACACAGTAAAATCGAATCTTGCATAATCTAGTTAGTTTTATGTTATGCATGTTTATACTCACGTCCTCTCCTCCCCCCCTACAGTGACGATACACTCAGAGTAGCCGCGGGGTTTAAACGCAGCGAGCAGCGCCTCCCCATGCTGCATTGCTCCTCCTAGCGACTCCATACAACAATTCCGTATCACCTCCCTCATCAGGGAGTCTCCGAGCATCTGCTCCTGGAGGTAGCTCTGGTCCAGGCCTTGAACCCACACGGCAGACATCACCTCTTTCATATGGACCTGGAAGAAAGGTATCCTATTTAAAAAGGACTGATGTAAATATCAGCTCAAATAAATATAAATAAATAAATAAGTCAGTAAGTTTTGGTTTGAAAGAAACAAAACAGATTTTGTTTTTTTCAAATAAATGTTCTTTTGAACATTCTAATCTTCAAAAATTTATTTTTAATTGTAAAAATACTGTACAATATTACCGTTTTTACTGTCTTTTTGATCAATAAATGCAGCTTTGGTAAGCATAGGAGACTTTTTGTAACATTTTAAAAATCTTACTGACCCCTAACTTTTGAGCAGTAGTATTTATTTAATTTGAACATTTACTATTATAATTTTTGCTAATATTTTGAATTAGATTTTTATATATTCTGTTTTAACATTAATTTTTTATAATTTTTTTTTTATTATACATATAGTTCTTAGTCATTTTTGTTTATTTGTTTTAGTTTAGCTTTAGTTATTTTAGTACTTCAAGTTAAACAAAACTTCAACAAAATATAAGACTAGCTGAAATGAAAGTTTACCTTTTTTTTTTGTTTTTGCATTTTACTTTACTTTCAGTCAACGTTTATTTTATTTCAAGCAACTAAAATGTTTTGGTTTAATGGTTTGTTTTGATTAACAATAGTACCTCTAGATGAAATAACTGAATTACAAAATTAATTAAATAACTGTTTATGTTTGATGTTTTTCTATGGCTGTGCATATGGAACCCTTGCGAAACATTTGTTTCACTCACTCTCCGAGCTTCAATGTCATGGGCGATCCAGCGGACCACGGCCTCCAGAACGTGCTTTTCATTCCCTACGTTGAGCTTCTCCATGGACAGGAGCTCACACAGGCGATCGGGCAGCTGCTCCAGGAACTCCTCTGTATTGGCCACATCACGAAAATGAGTCTGCAGGTACTCGGTGGCCACATGGTAGACGTGGTGCAGGCAGTAATGCAAAGAGAAGACCCGAATACCGATGCAGTTCTCTGCAGTGATGCAGCTCTCCAGGAACTGACAGCACAGGGATTTGAGATCAGTGAGGAGCAGAAGATCAGCAGCCTGAACCACATCCTGGATGGTGTCTTCACTCAGGGTAATCTAGAAACCAGAGCGCCAAAGAGAATAGTTTTGTTTGGCCCACTCTACAAACAGTCAACTATAAAAGCATTGTAATTATGACAATGGAAACCCAATAGTTTGTGACATACATTCATAATTCATATCCAGTTTTCCCACACATTTTGACCAATTAATTTCTATTACTTTTCCATAATCTTTCCAACTGTTTGTAATTATAAATGAATATAATGGAATTAATTGTAATGGACAATGACTTTTTTAAAAATCATTTTATACAGACTGCACTCACAGAAAGAAATCTGCAATTAAATATTTTGTTTTTACATTTATTGATAAATATTTTATAATTCCATTACTTTTCTGGGCCTGAAAACCTTAATTGTAAAAGTCAAGGTTTTCCATAACTGAGGGAAAGATTTATGTAGTATTTGTTAGTAATATAATTACCTCCCCACTGAAAATGTACTCCAAAATCTGCCTCATGGTCGTGACAGAGATTCCTTGCAACTCGATTTTGTATACAGATCCATCCTCCTTTGGTGGGTTGTAATTTAATTTGGTCCTGGAAACATGAATAACATGAGTTTGCATTCACTGTGGAGCTGATAAAAGGACTGACCTAATATCATGGAGAATTGTTATATAAAATGCACGGCAAAGGTTCTACAAATTTGGGATTTTCAGTTTCAGCTGATTCAAGATGTGCAAGGATCTGTTTGGTGATCAGGTTTTTAGTTTAGAGTACTGCACACCATTTCTTTCTTTAATTTTTTTAAATTTTTTTATTTTGCAACATAATCTTGAACTGACCAAAAAATGCTGGACTTTTCTCTACAAGCAGTTGAACCAATAAGGGCAAAAGTGCCTTGATACAATGTTTCCAGCTCATACGCCTCTTTCATTGCAGTGATTCAATCAAGTGGACTTGGATTATGATGTGTGAAGACATGCCACACTAGGTATCAATGACGCCAAAATACCAGTGTTTTCTGTTTGCTGTTGCTTATTGTGAAAACTTGAATATTAAGCATGAAAAAGATTTGAGATCTGTGGAATCTTTGAGTTCTCAGTGAACGTTTGTGAATAACAGTTGAGAACCCAGATAAATGAATCAGTGAATTAAATTTGAAAAGCGATTCAGGGATTTGAACGAGTATTGCAAATTGCAGCAATTTTTTCTTTGAAAAGATTTGCTTCAAATGAATAGTCCATGAATCGAATTGTTTGTAAATCTCACAATTCGTAGAAGTGTTTTTGTTAATATTTTGAATTAGATTTTATTTTTATATTTTCTGTTTCCATTTTAATTTTGGTTAAAGTTTTAGTAATTTTGTTGTGTGTTTTATCATTTGTATTAATTTTTAAATAATTTGTAATGTCTATATTTTTTTTAAATTAAGTTTTAGTTTTAGTTATTTTAGTACTTAAACTAAACAAAAATAAGAAATGTTGTAGCTAATGTTGTATGTAGCTAAAATAAAAATAAAAAATGTTATCGTTATGTTTTATTTTATTTTATTTCAGTTCATGTTTATTTTATTTTAAGTAATGACCTTTTTTAGTGGTTTTAGTTTTCGTTTATTAATTGAATATTAGAGCATCCATAAACTCAGTCGTTTTGGTTTCCTTTTTTTTTTTTTTTTTTTTTACAGTAGGTCACATGAAGGTGTGACTTTTCTATTTTTTTTTTTTTTGGTGAACTATTCCTTTAATTGACCCAAGCAGCAGGCAAGGTGGGGCTGTTTGGCACACCCATATGACACATTGCTCAAGGGTCTGCTACATGTCTGAGCAAACATACCAGATCTACTGATCTGATCTCATTTCATGCAAATGTATCCCATTTTCAAGCTTATTCTCATACCTGATGTATGGACTAGCAGCAGCCAGAATGTTTTTCTGAACAGGAATCTGTTCACCATCCAAAACCAGCACTGCATCTTGAAAACAATCATCTTGTCTGAAAGACTGAAGGACCCTTAGAAGCTTTTGGGAGTGTTGAGGGTCTGACACCACTGATCCAGCATCGGCTCCAGCTCTTTTAGGGTCTGACATGCTGTTAGAACAGACAGAGAGATGATCAGACAACACAACAACAACAACATGGTTCATGCTTGTCTTACATAAACAGAACTACAGGTTTAACTCATTCAAACTCACTCCAGTGTACTTGAAATACACTTGTTCTTGATGCTCTCTGTAACTTCAGCTTCTCATAATCAGTTGTCTGTGTCAGAGCAGCGCACAATGCAGAAAAACAATTTGGCAGGTTAGTGAGGCAGCGTGAGGTCACCAGGAAGCGCCTTTTATTTTTCATAATAAAAGTTCATTTTTCCCCTCATAATAAAACATGCAGGTGTACGTAGAAATGTTCAAGAAATGGTCATAGAAAATATGGGAATAAAAGTATTGCATAAAATATTGTTTAATATTACAGTGAATTATTCGTTTTATAATTTATTTTATTTAGGCAATTTTAAGAAACATTTAAGACTATAATCTATATTCATAACATTCAAATACTTTTAAAATGCTGTTTTTAAATAGTTTCTTTAATAATAATGATATATATATATATCATATATCATATATATATAGTATGGATTACTGATAAACATGTTATCATGCAAACAACATATATTTATAATTCATGTCTGAAATTTGTTTTTAATACATTTTACTACATATGTTTTAATTATATTTAAAAATTTTTACATTTTATCCTGTCTTCTCGTGAATTTGTCTTATGTGGATAACTCGCCTTTTTGGGGGACTTGAATATATTAGTGTCATTGTAAAGCTGCAATATTTGAGAAATCACAGACTTAGAACGATCAACTTCCTTTGCAATGACTGAAAGGGTCATGATATTGAAACATTTTGCATTCAACCTGTGATAAAACTTTCATGGACTTTTTCATTAACTGTTCCCTCCTGGTGGAATGACCTGCCCAGCTCAATCCAAGGAGCAGAGTCCTTAATAATTTTCAAGAAACGGCTGAAAATACATCTCTTTCATCTTTATTTGACCCTCTAACTTTAGCCCTCTCTATTCTATTTCTATTCTAACTACTTGTTTTATTTAAAAAGAAAAGAGCCTTTAACACTAGAATTCTCTATTCTTTCTCTATTTTTTCTACTTATTTTCTTTTTATTTATTATAAATAATGACCTTCTAATACAAGCATTATCTATTCTTTTTCTGTTCTATTGACTTGTTTTATTTTTATTTCAAAATGAGCCTCTAACACTAGCATTCTCTATTCTCTTTCTATTCTTTCTACTTGTTTTCTTTTTATTTATTCTAAAAACAAAACAAGCAAACAAACAAACAAACAAACAAAAACCTTGCTACACACACACACAATCAAATGCTTTTTCACTATCTGAAAAGAAGTGAAAATGTCTTACTGTTTCAAAAAAAACAAAAAAACATTAAAAATCTTTATGAACATTCAATTTTTTTCTTGTGCTGCTATATTTGATTTGGAACTCGAGCGTGAAAATGTTTAAAACTTGACACAAATTCGGATGCAATTTCACTACCTGAAAACCATGTCTTAGTGTTTCAAAAGCATTAAAACAACTTTAACATTG